TGCTCGGAAAATTTCAGAACATTACACATGATCTATGGAAAGTTATGGGGGGTCCGTTACTTCTGACGAGCACTGTACATAATAATATTATTATTATCGGGGGAAGAAAAAATCGTTTTCAAATAAGATAATATCCAATTCATTAAACGCAACTTCATTAATTGTAACATAGTCTCGATGATTATAAATGGCTGTCGTAGGATCTTGATGTTTGTAAATGGCTGCCATAAAGTCATTAGTATCATTGTGATGATTATAAATGGTTGTCAAAATTGTTGATGTTAAGGATGGTGACGCGTTAATTTGCATTGTTTTCTGAAGTGAGTTGAAATCTAAGGATGCAGTCCTGCCGAATTGTATTTCTTCCTGAGGTGAATTGAAAGTTAGAGGACGATCCGTCGTTTTGTATTGCTTCTTGAGATAAATTAAAAATTAAAGGTGATGACTCATCGATTTGTACTGTTTCCTGAGGTGAGCTGAAAGCAAAGGGTGAAGTCCTGCCGAATTGTAGTTCTTCCTGAATTGAAGTTAAAGATAACGGCACGTCGATTTGTATTGCTTCCTGATGTGAATCGAGAATTAAAGGTGGCGATCCGTCGTTTTGTAATTCTTCCTGGTCGTTTTGTATTAAAGGTGACAACCCGTCGATTTTTATTGCCTCCTCAGATAATTTATTGTGCTGGATTTGGCTGGCGAAGTGAATACATATTTTTTCTCTTCTCGAAAAATAAATTTTTCATAGCTGGACTCTTGCATTTTTTGGCTTATATTTATAATTAGGATATATCGATATATGTTTATGATTCTCATAAGCTATTTTCTCAAAAATGTTTAACCTCAGTTGATTGTAATTTCCACGTTAAACTGCATTCCTTTTTAACCGTTTGCTTAACATTAGGACTATATAGACGCTTATTAGCTTCATAATCTTTCCGAAATATGACCCAGCAGTTTTGTGGTCGCGGTGGATTATCACAATTATTGCGATTTTCTTTGCGGGCTTGGTTAACTCTTCAATCGCCAGTGTTAGAGAATAAGGACGTTTACTCAGAAGCTTTCTTTCAGTTTCTGATAAATGTTGGATATTATTCATTTTTCTAGCAAGGGGAAGAAAATTTAAGATATAATTATTTTTAAATTATTATTCACAAGAGCGAAAGTAAGATTCATTGAGTTTTTATAACCAATTTCCATGATGTCGCCAAAAAATACTGCAATTGGTTACTATTTACATATATAAAACGTAGATTCCGTATTATTACCGCTATACATAAAATAAAAGTAAAACTTGGTTCTTTGCTTGACGTTGAAAATGAATTGGACAAACATAACTTCAATAAGAAAACTAATTAAACGAGATCTGCATAATTTTTGTGTGGTCATTTTTACTAATCGTTGGGATTTTGTGTTCTGTTAAACATCAACTCATAAGAAATGGGTATTTCTTTTCATCCGATTTCTACGGCTATCCAAGTCGGGAAATGTCTGGAATAATAATCATCTTTTTATCGGACACCACGAGCAGACCGACAAGGTCAATGCCAAAGAATTCTTCGTCTCGCTTTAGCATAAATTTTCTAGAACATTCATGTATGTACTCGTAACTCTAGATACATGTACATGCACATGTATATAAAATCTCTCGACCAATCGGGGAATTTAAAGATCACCCCACTCAATATTCCAAAGAGTAAAAGTTAGCGCTTTTACATGTACGTACAATGATGAAATTTCTCGTGAATTTTCTGGAGATTTCATGTAAATGCTCGACATTGATCAAATTTTTCTATAAATACTTGAGCTGTTCGTCTTCAACAAAGCATAACAACTATTAAACAAAAACGCTATCTTCGCTTAATACAAACCATCAAATAACACAGCTTGTAGCAACTAATAAAAATGGCATTATTTTATAACGATCCTGAACTTCGACAATTCGAAAACCAAATCTCCAATGTATGTACAAATTTCTTTACAGACCTGAATACAGCAAAACGCGGCGGAAATGTTCGTACTGGTAATCGTAACGCGAATAACGGTACTTCTTGGGCTCCAGCTCTTGATGTCTACGAAACGGACAAAGAGTTTGTAGTGAATGCCGAGTTAGCTGTAAGTTATCGTATATATCAAGAATTAATGTCATAAATTTTTATCCGTCATATACTATATCTACTTCTATAATTACTAAATAGGGTGTTCCAAAAGAAAACGTAAACGTTGATGTACGCGATAACATACTCCACATCTCTGGTGAAACAAAACAAGATCAAAAATACAAAGAAGGCAATACGCATATCCAAGAACGTCGCTACGGCAAGTATTCGCGTAGTATTCGTTTGCCATTATATGTTAAGTCCGATGAGATAGTTGCGAAATTCGATCATGGAATATTGGAAGTGAAAATTCCGAAAACGGAGAGTGCTACTCCAAAGAAAATTACAATTCAATAGCTTATATCAGTTAGTATATAAATTTAACATGATAAAAGCGCCTGAACTCTTATAAGAAATCATTGTAGTTATTGCATAAATACATATTAGTACTGAATACATAATAACGAAAGGAAATATTGGTAATAAACCTGATATAACATCCGCAGAAAAAGGTCCTTCAATCATTTAAATCAGATGGATTAATCAAGTTACTATGATATCGATATACGTATGCATTTCTGTCATTGTAAAAACAGATTTCAAAGTATCTTATGTCACTGTTGGCAAAATGAGTAAATGACAAAACTTTGACTTATAAAAATAATTTATATATTTTTGATTTGATTTTTGTTATTTCAAATATTGAAAAAATCCATTAATGACAAAGTTCTTCTGATTCATCAAAGAAATAAAAATTTTTATGAGATGCCATTTTTGTCATTTTGCCAATACTGTCTTAAACATTTTTACATTAACAAGTATAAAATAACAAGTCCACCCAAATACATGATAACAATTCCTCTAAAATGTGTATATCTATGTAAACTTGCACTATCTGTTTCAATCGCAGCTTTAAGAAAATATCCGATACTTGCGGCCACAAAGACGCATGTAATTCGTGCACACATAATTATATCGAAGCTGCTGGATTAAAAAATGTGACTTTTCCATTAAGTTATTAAATTTATCTTTTTAAAACAGCATTCGAAAATATCCTAGTGCGAAAAGAGGCTGCCAAATCAACCGATTTTGGAATGTCGCGAATTATCAATGCCACTTCTTCGACCAATAATCAAGTGGCATTATACCTTATATTGCGTCAGAGTGTCTTCGATATTGTAACTATCCGCTTGAAACAAGATCTATTCATTCGGTGTTATTTTATGGGAGATTGTTAATC